GACTGGTGAGTTTGAACCACTGACCTTACAGTTCAAACCGACCTTGAGGTTGAGCGCTTATCCTAGGTACAATATTTGTCATTTCTACAGTCTTCACATATATAGTTCAGTGACACTAATTACATTCATCATGTTCAACCATCACCACCCTTAACCGTTCCCCAAATTTTCAAACCCTTAACAGTAGCTTGTTGTTAAGTGTCATCAAGTCAATTCCATCCTGAAGTGACTGTGTATAGGGTTTCTGAGGAGTGGCTGGTGTGCCTGAACCACCCACCTTGCTGTTCAAACCAACATTTCAGTCCAGCTCATTAATCCATAGCACCATAGGACTCCCGATAGTAGCTAAGTACACCCTTCGTTGTATCCACCCCTTATGTAACCACTAATAAACTTTTTTCTCTATAAACTTGCCTGTTCAAGATATTTCATATAATTATGATCATATACTATTTGTCCTTTTGTGATTGACTGCCTGAATTTCTTTTTTCAAGTCTTTATTAAACATGTTCTTTTTAGGTGCTGTTGATTCGCTTCCAACTCATAGCAACCCTATGCACAACAGAAAGAAACATTGCCTGGTTTTGAGCCATTCTCAGAATTATGTTTGAGCCCATTGGTGCTGCCATCCTGTTGGGGATCTTCCATTTTTGTTATATGTTTGTATTTGTGTCCCGTATTTTCTAGGCTCTTGAAAGGATTCAATAATTGGTAGTTTGTCCCACAGCATCTTACAGTTTGTGAATGTATGAATGAGCTTGTTGTTAGAGTGGCTTTGAGTCAGTTCCGACTCCTAGCCACCCTGCAAAGGGTGGATTTGAACCACTGACCTTGGCAGTTAGCAGCCCAGTGCTTATACTACAGCACATCACTAGGACTCCTATGAATGAGTCTAGTAGTTAAAATCTCAAATTTGGAGTCTGACAGCCTGAATTTTTATCTGACTCTCCCATGTAAGTGCTGTGTGATCTGACAGCAAACTCTGTTCCTCTGTCTTGATCTGTTAAATGCTAGTGCTCACCAGCCATTCTCAGAAACCCTGTACAGGTTCGCTGTGAGTTGGAATTGATTCAACAGCACTTAAGAACAATAGTAAAGAATGGTACTGGCCACATTAATGTAGTATGAGGATTATATGTAAAACTAGAACATTTCCTGACATATTCTCCATAAATATTTGTTGTTAGACTAATGATACAGAAATTGATATCAGCGGGAACTGATATCATACTATCACTATCATATTACCACCAATATCATTCTAGTTCATACCACTTCTGATAAGTATTCATCACCCCAGTTCTCACTTCAGTGCCCTTGCAAAAGTGAATGTTTCTCTATGGTGACTTTGACTCAATCCTAAAGTGTTTAAATTAGAGAACTTTTTGCTCTTTGTGGAGAAAATTTGCTATTGATTGTCCACCCAAAATTAGGTTAAAACACCCTTGAAATGATAATTTAGGCCAGTGTGACAAATGAATTTTCAAATGTTTATATAAGGAAAGAACCATATGCATCCTATAGAAGAACACCATCCCCTGTAAAGTGGCTTGCTCCCTTCCTCCATGTCCCCCAAAATTAATCCTCTAAATCCACCTACCTTTTGAGGGTATAATCAGCATAATTCACACTGCAGAAACTTCTAGTTTGCTCTCCTACCAACAAAATTATTTTGTTTGTGATTTATCCTGATAGCAACCCTGTGTAGGTTGTTTGCTTCATTTAACCTTCATTTGTTCTACCGAATAAATAACCTTCTTCGATAAAGCATCCTGCTGATATGAAGTGAGGGGAGACATACAAGAACACTCAAACTTGCAGATAGTACCCGTTTGACCTAGCCTCGATTACTAGATAAGTAGAACTCGACCAGAGGAAAACAAAAAAGAAAAAACAATTTTTGATAAAGGAAATAAGGGTAAATTGCTTCAGTTTGATGAACTTGACCTATACTCATGGACTT